GACAGGCTGGCAGCGGGAGGGGATGGATTTGTGGGGTGTTGTCTGGGTGTGGCTTGGAGCGGGGGTAAGAACGGTGCGGCGCCCGTGGGTTCTGGGCCCGCGGATTGCCGACGGACGGCTCGGATTGGATGGTTTTGGAACGGAAAAAGAAAGGAGGGAAAGGTTCTCGAAAGCATGGCGCGTGGAAATGCCGAGATGGGCGGCCCGTCTCCTCATTTGCTCCGACAGTCTTCGACTCGTGTCGTCCGATCGACGGGGCCGGGGCTTGGTTTTGTGCGGCACTTTTTCTTTTTTGAAGAAACTGAAATAAACCTTCAATTCATACTTGAAGTCTAAATCGAAAACCTAACCTCGTGATTGTTGCGCCGGGAAACACACTTTACTCACCTCTCTCACTGACTAGTAGAACGCCCGTGCGTTACTACGGGCTACAATTCATATTAAAAAATCGATGATTTATTAACGTCGTCTTTAAGGTGGACTGGAAAAAAAATCAAGATCGAAGCTCATTTCTCCCTCATACGTCTGGATATGTTCAGAAATAAAACGGGCACCCTGCGAGCTCCGTAAAATTCTACGGTCTGTAAAATCTGGGCTCCCCAAATCCATCCTGTATGTGGGGGGTGGGTGAGGGGAAACGTGGTTGTCCTAGCTATCCATCAATGTTATTATCTCCAATATGCGGTCCCAACACAAAAACCTCACCCCACGACGCACCCTCCCTTTTCCTGCTGGATCCTCCTCTTCCTGCTCAGTTTTTCGCTATAGCAAGACATTTCTTGTTGGAGCCTTTCCTTTAAAACAGGACGCCACCCACCTCACCTTCGTCATGGTGCCCTCCCTTCACATCGTACTTTCCCACAGACCGCCGAGGAGGAGTCCCCTGCCAACCGCCCCGCTCTCCGCCCTGACCCCGCCCCTCGTGTTGTTGTCGATCCACCATCGCCATCAAGGAGGCATGCGCCGCCCATGACGCCTCTGAGCTAAAAAGACATATCGGATCTCTCCTGAGCCCTTGTAGCATTGTAACATATAGCTGAATATCGTGCAATACCATGAAACAAAACATGATGCTCATTGTTGGGCATGCGCAAATGATACGTCATCATGTCTGTTATTAATTTTTGAAGCAACCAATTAATACATTTACCCTTCTATCCTAACTAAAAAAGTTATGACTTACTGGAAAGAAATATATAAACCACTCACTAATGCAATTTGTTGCAAAGCCATCTTTAGTGAAATACAATTTGCCATATTTTCCAAAGAAGGGAAATTATTTCGCTTAGAAGACATCATGAATGTAAACTTCCCCTCCCTCCCTCTCTTCCTCTCACACACACACACGACAAGTGCACATGGAGGCTATGTCCCTTTCAAGGGATGGCGGTAGTGAGTGCCTAGGCCATGGCGCAAAGCACATTGCCCATGGTGTACACAGTGGAGAATCCAAACAAGCCCAACCAAATAAGCAAAATGGAATAACAAAATGATGTCTCGAAAGGCAAATATTCTACTTCTGATGTTTTTAGTGTGTGCGTGGAGGTCGTATCCCTTTCAAGGGATGGCAGCAGCGAGCGCTCAGGCCATGGCGAAGAGCACATCGCCCCTGGTGTATACGGTGGAGAATCCAAACAAGTCCAACCAAATAAGTAAAAATGGAAGAACAACGAACAATGAGAACTTGAAAGGCAAACATTCTACTTCTCGGGTTTTTATTGCTAATCCATTTGATATTGATTTCCTGCGATGTAAAAAATAAGCAAAAAATAGCAACTGGCACTGAGCACTGGGCACTGGGTCAATAGGTTAGTCCCAAAAAATGATATAAAGTTGCTATAAAATGATTGTAAAATATCCAAGAATGATAAAATAATGACATGAATACTTCATAAATTATAGATACGTTGGAGACGTATCAGCATCCCCAAGCTTAATTCCTACTCATCCTCGAGTAGGTAAATGATAAAAGAAATAATTTATGAAGTGCGAATACTAGCAAAGTGCATAAGTTTGATCAATGACAATTTCAATCACTTTTCCTAGCATTATAACAACAATCTTTTCTTATAAAAATTCTCATGTTATAGTAGCAAGCAATTCACATGTTAAGGTTCAAACAATGAATTCTCTTGAAACTCAACAACCTATGTTTTCAGTCACCAAGCAATTGCAATTCAACTTATTCAACAGAGTATAAGTAAGAGCTCCACATACTCAACCATCATATAGTCTTCTATGATTGCTAACACTCACCGCATACACATGAGCAAAACGTTTCAACCGAGCACATAAAAAGATAGGGGCTTATAATTTTGCCTCCCAACGTATTCATCTTTGGGTGATGTCAACAATAATAACTCATGCTACCCATATCCAACTGGACATATGTGCCTAGATCTTTCCTCACCACATGATGCTTACCAAAGGACAAAAATAAAAAGGAATAGAGAGAAAACTTTGACTCTTTGCATAAAAGTAAATACTGAAAAGTAAAAGATAGGCCCTTCGTAGAGGAAAGCAGAGGTTGCCTTGTGCTTATTTGTTTGGATGCTCAACCCCTTAGTGCAAAAGAACGTCACCTTATATTGCCCCTTATGATAGCAACTTTTATTATGTAGTTTGTCGCTTTTATTCTTTGCCATCACAAGTTCGTACAACACTCAATTTTCTCTTACACTAAATGATCTAACACTTTTAGAAGCAATTTTTATTGCCTTATTGCACCAATGAAAACTTACTTAAAGGATCTTGCTCAATCCTTAGGTAGGTATGATGGACTCTCAAAACAAGATTTGAGTTTAAGGGTTTTTGGATGCACAAGTAGTATCTCTACTTGGTGCGGAATTTTTGGCTAGCAAAGATAGGGGCAGGCACTACATGTTGAACAATCTATGACAATACAACTTCTATGTGAATATGAACAAACATAAACCATTACGTTGTCTTCCTTGTCCAACATCAACAATTTTGGCATACAATATTTTGATGGGGGCTCACAATCACAAAAGATTTCTAGGATAGTGTATTTATATGTGAAAGTTCTCTTCCTTATACTAATTATTCGTGAATTGCTTATATGATCAATACTGTGATTGTCAAGCCTCAAAAGATTTAACTTTCTAAACCCAATGTGAAGCTACCACTAGGGATGATATGATTTCAACTTCATGACATTCAATTTATTCAAAAATTTACTCATAGGATATAAGTGAAGCATAAGAATAAATGACAAGCTACTCCAAAAAGATATAAGTGAAGATCATGAGCATGATATTTCTTTCTCTCAAATTAATTTAAGTGAAGCAAGAGAGAATTTCATCAAAAATACTAAAGCACACCGTGCTAAAAAGATATAACTGAAGCACTAGAGCAATTCCATAGAAAAGAGCTTCGTTGACGGGATGTGAATGCCGCTAACCTAGCCTCCCTGGAAACTATTTGAGGACTCTATTTTATTTAAAAACTTTCAAGTCTAAGTATTTTATTAAAACAGCAAGTAAAATAAAACAAAATGACATTCCAAGCATGGCACAACTCATGTGAAGAATTAAGAACTTAGGCTCAACCGATACTAACCGATAATTGTTTAAGAAGAAAGGTGGGATGCCTACCGGGGCATCCCCAAGCTTACATGCTTGAGACTTCTTGGAATATTAACTTGGGATGACTTGGGCATCCCCAAGCTTGAGATTTTGTGTCTCCTTAATTCCTCTCATATCACGGTTTCCCTAAATCTTAAAAACTTCATCCACACAAAACTCAACAAGAACTCGTGAGATAAGTTAGTATAAATCAATGCAAAACCTTATCACTCTCTACTGTAGCAAATCACTAAAATTATTATTTGACATTACATACTAAATGCCTCTGTATATTTAATACTCCTATCCTCAAATAGAATCATTAAACAAGCAAACATATGCAAACAATGCAACCATAACAGCAATATGCCAAAACAGTACAGTCTGTAAAAAATGCAAGAGTATCAATACTTATTCAACTCCAAAAAATATGAGAAAAATACCACATTGTTGGAAATTTCTCAGAGATTATTTTTCAAAAAGTTTCATCAATTTATCACATTCTGACTTTTCTAGGGAATTTTTGCAACATTGATAAACTTTCCATTTTGAAACAGCAACATGTATACTTGAAAAATAAGCATGGCAGAGGCTATCATTGCCACTTTTATTGAAATAAAAGATACAAAACATTATTCTAAATAACAGAAATAAAATTCTAACAAAATAAATTGACACTCCAAGCAAAACTCATATCATGTGACGAATGAAAACATAGCTCCAAGTGAGGTTACCGATAATGTTGGAGATGAAAGAGGGGATGCCATCCGGGGCATCCCCAAGCTTAGTTGCTAGGATCTTCCTTGAATATTACCTTGGGGTGCCTTGGGCATCCCCAAGCTTATGTTCTTGTCACTCCTTATTCTCCTCATATCGACATCTCACCCAAAACTTGAAAACTTCAATCACACAAAACTTAACGGAACTTTGTGAGATAGGTTAGTATGATAAAGAGCAAACCATTTCACTTTGGTACTGTTAAAGACAAGATTCATAATTGTTCCCACACAATTCCTACTGTAGCATATCATTTCCACAATTTATATTGAGCAATATAAGCCATAGAAACTAGGAAACAAGCAAACTATGCATTGAAAACAGAA